GATGCCTGCGGAGCTTTGATGTTCATACAAAGTCGTGCCAACTCCTTATTCTTCGTCTGGGCTTTGAAGTGCGGCGCGTGGCTCTACCCTGTGCCTGTGCGTTCTGCAGCCACAGCGCCGGAGAGCTGCATGTCCTCTGCATGCTCAGGTCTATATGCACCGAAAACAACGTTAACATGTTATGTAAGTTTCACTTTTGTTTGTGACATTTTTGAGTCCAAGCTTTCTTTGCTCCCCGCGCACTCACTCCCCCTTCAGAGCGCTATCACAACACAATCAGTTTGCATCTCACTAATGAAACTACTGCACATCACGTCACATGTTTGTATCATCCTTTTGTATGTTTATGGAGAATTGTCAAGTGGGATCATTGATGACAGGCTCGTACGTAGAATCTTTAGCTAACCGTGAAGAGGCATCGAATAGGGCCCAGAGGATATTGCAGAATTACTCCAACATGCATGAATGACATCTAAAACCTTATTAGGCATGTTTTTCATGAGAGAACAACATTATAACATGAAAGATAGAAATATAGAAAGCTCAAAAAATGTCTTTTGCTTTATATTCCCTCTTTAATCTTACATCAATAACATGCTTTCTTTGCTTGCTGGAACTTCTGAATTACCCTTTGCAGTTTGAAGGATTTATGATCAAATCTAACATTGGTCAGAACAGTTCATCAGGGCATTTTTACTTTTCAACAATAGTTTGAGCATTTGCAAAACATTTCAGTAAAAAATGCTGCAAAGTGCAAAGTTAACAGTGTAACTTTGAGATGTGGATGCTGTTACAGCCCTAAAGCCTTTCTGTTTCATCATGTGATTCTAGCAGACAAAAGTTTGGCCAAATATGACTTATTATAACTGGACTGTTAGTTCTCGTCATTCAGTAAATCAGAGTCAAGCTAAATATAGACCCCAAACATATACTCTTGACCTTTGGTCTTGGTGATTGTAAACCAAGTCACTTTTTAAGTTATGTTAATGAACAGTGGCACTGGACACATGGCATCTGCATATGTGCAATATGATTCAATAAATTACCCCTTATAAAGCAACCAAGCAAGATGTGAAGTTTGTAAATAAACCACACACCAAGAAGAACCCCGTAATAGTTTTAATCCATGAGTGCATTGAACATTCAAAAGAAAAGATACTTACCAAGAACATGGAGGTGATCTAGTTTAGACCCACTGTAAGCTTGTTTATGTGAGATGGGCTCATGAAATATTTGTGTGGATGAAAGATTCATTGGACAGGGAGCCAGGTCAATACAATAAATTACTTAAGCTGAAGCAAAAGTATAGTGCCTAAAAACTAGTCAAAAGTGAGTAACTTGAGTAAGTTTTTATTTATAGAGCATGTTTCACAGACATGTGTCACACACTTTACAGAGCATTATTCAATCACTCCATACACCACCTACTATTACAGCTGCCCTGGGGCAGACTGACGGAAGTGAGGCTGCCAATCTGCACCATCAGCCCGTCCAACCACCACCATCACTCACACACACACCACTTTCATACTAGGTGAAGGGTAAAGTGCCTTGCCTAAGGACACAACGATAGTTGTGGCACCTGTTTGCCCAGCGATCTCCCATCCAAGAACTAACCAGGCCTGGCCTTGCTGAGTTTCTGAGGCTTCTGAGCTCTTGATCAGACTTTGACAAGCTGGTCTGGCTACTTAAGTGACTCAAATAAAAGTAACCTTATCCTACCAAACTTCTCAAAAAAAAAAAAAAAAAAAAAGTTATCCAAATAAGAGACATGTTCAAAAGCATTAGGTTAAATATAACAATTATAATAATATATATACTTGATTGCATCGTGACATATAATCTGGTTGCCAAGATTAATCTAATGACTCAAGCACAAGCAACGATGTTTAAAAAGTGAATGTCTAAATGTAACTCATCCATCACTGCAAAAGCATATGTCACAATCTACAAATCCTTCTATAATCTAAAATTGAACCATATTACAATCCTCCCTTTGAACTCTGAATGTCAACTGAAGTGTACCCTTTGCACCACTAGGGAGCATCAGAGGACTTTTAGGAGGCTGCTTCACATTTGCATCATAGACTGAAGTTCACACTGGTTTGAAACTTTTAGTAAGGACATAGCAAAACAAAAGGAGGAGGTTATGAAAGTTCAGTGTCATTTGAATAAGGGGGGAGCGATAAGGCAGCGTTTCATTATAAGTCGATGGTAAAGTGCGTCTTTAGCCTTGGGGGGTGCGCGGCGACATCTTTGAAAACTCAGACTTCTTGCTCTCAGCTTCTGTTGTTCTCCACGCTACAAAAAACATCTTTAAGTGTAAGAAATCATACGAAGGGATCAGTGGGATGCCGGGACACGAGACGGGGTCAAAACAACAGCATAAAACAGGCTTTGAGCAAAGAGAGAGAAGTCTCCTCCCGTCCGGGTTTGAAATGCCGTTTGAAGTTTGCGCTTGAAAAAAGAAGCACTTTGAAACGCAAGGGCCTGTTTTCAGAATTATGCATGGGGAATCATCAGAACCATTGAGGCGCTTTGATGACGAGCCGTTATCGTGGATGTGCAAAAAGATCACAAACCCAAATGTACTTTTCGAAAAACACACCAGTAAATGTCAAATGCGTGCACACTCTGATTAGCATGCTAACAGTCAAGCCAATTGTGATTAAAAAAGAAAATTATATATATATTTAGTATTTTTGGGGGGCTTGTTTCAGGTGAATGGCACACGTAAATGACTTCAAATAGGATTTCAGAAAGCTTTGAGGCGCTTACATCAAAGGAAAACAGCGTTTGTCTGCTCGGGCTTTGTAGCTGACGAGATGAGTTTCAATAATTCAGTAACGTCTTATGTTTGTGTTGGAGGACTTTAATGTGGAGTTGATTGGAAAGGTCTTGATTAGGCTCATTTTCCGGCTAAAATGCTTAACAGGTGAAGTGTGTAGACTGGAGAGTGTCTTTTATGTGACGTCTGCCGGTAAAGTCCTGTTGTTGTTTGGGATGGTTGTGAAGGAAGCGAGGAAGTTGTCATATGGCCTAGAAATAAGTGAAAAAGAAATTAAAACGGCCTCCCGCTAATGAAACTGTTGCACATTGGTTTATGAAGTTGTTGTGTCATGTTTTTGTACATTTATGGAGAATTGTGTGTGATCATGGATGACACCAGCTTGCGCATAAAATCTTACAGCTAACCATAAAGAGGTTTTGAATAGGGCCCAGGAGAAACTGCACAATTACTCAAATATGCATGGATGACATCTAAAGCTTTATCAGGCAGGTTTTGATGAGTGAACAATGTTATAACATGAAACAGAAATATAGAAAGCTAAAAAAATGCATTTTGCATTATACCTGCTCTTTAATCTTACATTAATGGCAAGCTTGCTTTGTTTGTGGGAACTTCTATGTTACCCTTTGCAGACTGAAGGATTTGGTTTTATGATACACACTCAAAATGTAACAGAGGTCAAAAGTAACAGTTCATCAGGGCATTTTTACCTTTTACTATAGTTGGAGCATTCGCAAAATATTTCACTGTAAGAAGAGGAAGTTGTTATATCCCCATGTTAAGCCCTTTTGTTCCATCATGTGATTCTAGCAGTCGGAAGTACGGCCAACTATGATACCATATTAAAAATGGATTGTCAAAGTCTCTAACTTTGTCAGGTAACCTTGTCAGACGTAACAAGGTCTCTGGTGCCTATAATTTACTATGTGTGGGAAAATATGAACCCCAAACATGTATGCATGACCTCTGGGTCCCTGGGCTTAGTGCATTAGTGAAAAGTGAATGTTCTACTGGTACAAAAAAATAGATCCTGGTTTGGCAAAAAAACAAACAAAAACACAAACAAACCAAACTTGAAGAATTATGGAATCATTTCTGTTTTATGGTTGTAGAAGTTATGTTAATGAATAGTGGCACTGAACACATGGCATCTTTATGTACAATATGTTTTCAATAAATTACACCTTATAAAACAAATTACGACAAAGCAAAAAGTGAAGTTTGTAAAGAAACCACACACCAAAAAGAACCCCATAATAGTTTTAATCCATGAGTGCATTGAACATTCAAAAGAAAAGATACCTACCAAGAACATGGAGGTGATCTAGTTTAGACCCACTGTAAGCTTGTTTATGTGAGATGGGCTCATGAAATATTTGTGTGGATGAAAGATTCATTGGACAGGGAGCCAGGTCAAAAGGCATGATGCCCAATAAACAGTCAATCGAGTGGAAATAATAGTTGACTGCATGTTATAGATACATCACCACATGTAAATACTTGTCACTACATGCACAGATCTGAACTCTCACTTTGACAGAGCATTGTGAACCATTTAGCTGAAACTCAACTAGTCTGAAAAAAATCTAAACCATTCACACTTTATTGTTGTAGAAACACAACATAAATAGCTGTTGATACAGTATGACTAATACAGACAGATTTAGTTCATAAAAATCAAACAAATGAATTAAAAACACCATAAAACTCTTGCATAATTTACAAAACATGGTGTCCCTGTGCTTCAAGACACGTGTGTGCCCCAACAGAGTTCAGAATACTCACTGTCGCTCACGCAATGAATACTGAGAAGGAGAGAGTCAGAAAGCATAGGATAAGACGATGAGTATGTTTACAGTGCTAGGCTGATACTGAGGTCTCCACCTCTGCTCCCTGTGCGCCACCACCTTCAGAAGTGCACATATGCAGTATGTAAACATTTGCTCTTGTTCTATTTTACGTTGAGCCAGACTTTTTTCAGTGAAAACAGAGAATGGACAAAAGAGAAAACACCCAAAGTACCTTGTAGAATTCCTCTGTGTAAAGTCCAGAGTCCAAAGGCTTGTGCTACAGAGGACCTGACCTGTACTGCCGAGTGAAGGCCTGCTGGAGAACGACTCTGTAGGACCCAGGGCACAATGCACAGCATTGCTATGACCCCTTTATACTTTTTTTTTTTTTTTTTACAAAACACATTATCATTGGGGAACAGGGAGCAACGTGACAGTTGCTGATTCTGACTGCTGTTAGAATTCTACCAAACGGAGTCTCTTTGGCAGAAAGTGCACCTCGTATTGTTACCTTTTGCCAATTTCACTTTGGCGAAGAAAATGGATGTTATTGGCGCAGTCAGCCAGTTCTGGATACTGCTCAATAGAGAGCACATAATAGCCGTCATAGCCTAGCACCTTTCCGCCGCTCAGAAGCTGCCTCTTCTCCCCCTCTGTCCAGGGCCTCACACCCTCCTCCCCGTCTCTGACCCTCTGCTGTTCTCTGGCCCAGGCCCCAGCCAGAGCACGCTGCCGGGCCAGCTCCACCACCCGTGCCTTCTCCTCGTCCACCGTGGAGCCGTAGCGGATGTGCAGAGCCAAGGCGCCCGCTCGGATCTCCACGTCTGCGAAGCGGCGCGTCCTACTGTCCATGACTGTGGTGGACTGGGAGACAGTCACATTGATGCCATTGTCCAGCGTTTTGTGTCCGCTGGTGAGGTGCAGCGCCGCCAGGTCTGAGTCGGGAAGACCCGGCTTCACAAAGTAGTGTGTGTCCCTGCCCTCTATAGTGAAGTGCAGGTGCTCCAAATAAAAGGCATTGTTGAGGATGGTGGCCACCTTCACACAGTCCTCACTGGCCACGTTGAGTGAGTGAGTGTGGACGCTGCCTTTGTAGATGGCAAACATCACGGCCCTTCCAATGGGAGACAAAGCGGCAGAAAACCACAGCCAGGACTTCTCACCTCTGCGCCCTCGACTCAGATGGACCTCTGGCAGCCGCTCAAAAGACAGGAGCGAGTGTGCTTGTCTGGTTACTTCCTGCTGGACCCCAGAGATGGACTGTAGGAAAAGTGCAATGAAACGTTAACATCTGAACATGGCACAGCTCGACTCTCCAGGCCACTTAGAAGCAGCCGCTGCTCTGCTTCACAGACTCTCTGCCCTCAGATAATCGTGTTTTCAAGCCAAAAGTACAGAAATCCTTTTGACATTTTTAGCAATACTTCTTGTGTTAATGCCTCCATCTGAAAAAGCCCAACGTTTATAGCTTCAAAGGCTCTTTTTTAACATTGGCAGCATATCATAATACAATGTTATCTGCAGAGGGCGTTGAACTGTTGGCTTGAACAACAAGGCACAGAAATGTTATGCAACTTCTTATACAAATCCAGCCCAATTAAAATGCATTTTATCAAAGGCATAGCAGTCCAATTAAACAAGCGGCTTTAAAGTACTTGCAAGAACTTTATCTGAACTTTTCTCTACCAAACCATATTTCATGTCAAATTCTGCATGAATACAACAAATAATAGTATACAAACCGGCAGGTCGTCCCAAAGCTGGCTCTTGATCAGTTCATAAGATGCTGTGCCGATATCAAACTTGGGGACCGGGAACCCAGGAATAGTGTTGTGAAGATGAAAGCCGAAAGTCACAAGCCAGCTGTTGACATCTATAGGGAAAGAAGTATGTATTTAACAAAAGTGACACATCTCAATCATAAAACAACACTTGCTAGTACCAGGTTACTATGTACATTATGCATACAGTAGCAATAGAATAAAGTATTGTCAAAAATGGTTAATGCTAAGTCCAGTTGTGTATTCTGTAACGCTATTTTGAATTATTATTATTATTTATCTAAGCAATTTTACACAACTTAATCGAAGCATGTTTGAGCAGTATGTCTTACCCGCCACATATTCTCTGACTTCATGGACTTTACTGATGGGGTTGTTATTTCTGAACATGTACAAGTTAAAAGGAGCCGGCTCTTTGCCAATTCTCTTCCATGTGGAGATGTCTGGGGCGGTCCACCTGCCAGACATGATATCATAATCCCTCTCTCCGAAGTGCAGCAGCTTGGTCAGCGGATCATAGAGGCCTCCGTGAAAGCCCAACACCAGCTGGAAGTCTGGATTGGAGTCAAAGTAGATCTCTCCGTACGCCGTGTACTGGAGTTGTTTGACCAGCAGGCCGTTACTGGTGAACACAGCCAGCGGAGTGCCCGTGTTGTCACAGGCGATGTAGAACTCCTCCCCGCTGCTTATCTCCATGGCAAACAGATGCCCTTGAAGGTCGTAGTAGAAGGACGTGATCTCGGAGCTGGAGTGGTTGTAGACGTGCGTTATCCGTGCGGGGTAGCTCAGATCTGCGTAGAAGTACTGCAGATGTTGACCTAAACTAGATTTGGTGGAGACTCTGCGCCCCAGTCCGTCGTAGCGATACTGAATGGTCCATCCCGTGCTCTTGCTGTACACCCTTACCAGGAGTCCTTTGGAGTTGTACTCAAAGATTTCGGCCCCCCTTTGCCGCAGGTAACCGTCCTCGTCCATTCGGTACTGGACGTCTCCCAGGCGAGTGATGCGGTCGCGTAAGTCGTATCTCAGAGGGAGGAGACGGGCGCTCGTCCCGGTGTTGAGCAGGTGCAGGTTTCCGTTGAGGTCGTACGTGTAACGCCACATGACCTTTTCGTTCAGGTACACGGTCATAAGCTGCCCGTCCACATCGTACTCGTAACTGTATTTAGTAGTGTTTGCAAAAGGCCCGATCTTGAGCTCCCGTTTGGTGAGCCTCCCCACGTCATCGTACTGAAACGTGATCCAGTACATCAACGAGCGGAAGATCTCATACTGGATTTCTTTGATTCTTCCATGTGCGTCAAAGTGCTTAGTGTACGTCATGACCGCTGTGGAGATGATTTGATTTATGTCGTAATATATGACTCCAAACTTGCCAAACTGTTCAATCTTTCCTGAGATATCATCAAACTGATAGAGGTCAATGGGTAACGGCGTTTCATTGATGACCCCTTGCACGCTGGTGACGCGCAAGTTGCTGTCGTAGGTGTAGTCGAAGCGTGCGTTGACCATTCCATCCTCGCTAAACCTAAATATCTGCCGGTCTATCAGAGGCCCTATTTGTCTGTAACGTATGGAGCAGATGAAGCCTTCGTTTTGGAGGTTTACAGTTTTGAGCACGCCCGCCGTTTCATCGTAGGTGAAGCTAACCCTGGTGCTGTCGTACAAGACCTCCGACAGTTTGTTCTGCCGGCGATAGTTGTACAGCACCCTGCGGCCGGTGCCAAAATGCGCCACCCTGAGGAGGAGGCCATCTTCCGTGTAGTCCACTGCCACCGACGCGTTGCTCTCCGGGGGGGTGGTAGAGGTTTCGGTAGTAGCCCACGGAGCGGATGGTCTGCATGGTGTAGCGAGCGACACTGGGCATGGTCACAGCGGAGAGGCGGTCCAGCGAGTCGAAGTCAAATATGTACTGGCGCTGACTGTGGAGGAGCAGAACCATGGACTGTGGGGAGAAAGAGCAAAGTGGCAAGTGTTTGTTGGGGTTGCGTAATATTTATGCATAATATATACGTGTAAGGCCTGGTGTGGTGAATAGGAATTTCCTGTTTGAGAAAGGGAGAAGCAGACGGTATGAAAAATGCAGCAGCTATATCACTCTAGTGCGGCAGATAGTTGCTTTGCCGAAGGTCTCAGAGCAGATGCTAATGTACAGATAGACAAAATGATAAGAGCATTATTATATTTTAATCTGTTCAGGAGTATGCTGTTGTGCCAGAGTGCTGTTTAAGTGTATACAGCTTTTCATCTTATCCCCTAAAACTCTTGGTTAGGTGAGATAGGCCTGCAGTGTTTTCTATTGCAATGGGAGGAAAGTAAAAGGATTGTTGTTAAAATGCTTATTTTGTGTTGTGATGTAGAGGTCTACGCGGGACAGAATTTTCAGTCCCGCTCCCACCCGCGCCCACAAAGAATTATAATTTTCATTCCCACCCCGCCCACAAATCCCGCAAGATGGGGACGTTCGCTTTCTTAAGCTCTAGCAAACACGGAGAAGCGGAAATGAACTGTCTAAAATGTGCACATCCGCAAGTTCAGGCTGCTTGAAATGTTTTTATTAATGCCAAATAAAATATCCAGCACAAATGATGTATGACAGACTTACATTCATCATTTGTATATTTTACTTTACACTCATATTTAGTTTGTGGGACTGCAGTTTATCCCACATTGTGCAGTCCCACTCCCGCCCGAGTCTGCAATAAGCTTTCAAAATGTGTTTCACGCCGCAGTGTTTTGCGTTGGGTCCCATGGGTGCAAGGCTCTAATGTGATGTGGCAGGATAAACCATGTCACTAATATAACTTTTCTTTTAAATAAAGAAGAAACTTGCTGCTGCTCCCATGTGAGAAATATGAACATCACTGTTAGTGACATTTTGAGGACTTCTCACATTAAATATTTGTTTTAAATTGTTTTTAATTGTTTCACATGTTTTCATCATTTCAAAATCTATGGATAAGTGGATGAATATTGATTTATATTATAGTCCACCCCGCCCTAGCCTAGACACATCATTTTATTTATTTTCTTCACACAGACGAGCTAGTGCTACGCTTGTATTTTCCGACGTGTTTGTACATAACTGGATGCTTATTCTAAATTCCATTCGCCTTCAGGGAATGGCTTTAATTAATTTACATAGCGCACAGTCTGGAGTGGTGTCAGCCTGGCTAAAGTTCCCCACCCTTTCTGTCGGAGTGTCAGGCCCAGTCATGCGTGGCTGCTCTGAGCTTCCCTGCGCTCCCTGGGCTCCTTGTGTTCCTTATGTCAGAGTGTTGACATGGCCTCTGCAGGTCACGCAATCAAAGGCATAGGCCGGGAGTGGCAGCACAATCTCTGCATGATGCTACAGCCTTCATCTGGCTCCACTCCCCACTCTGCGCCGGAACGGAGCGAGGGGTCAAGTATAAACCGTAGAGGCACGGCGATGTAATAGACTACAAATGCAGGTAGGTGGGCGATAAAGAAGACATTTTGTGTGGATTTTGTTTTGACACCAGCGGTAATGTTACCAAAAGGTCACTTCTATGAGATGTGGGCAATGTATATAGTGTACAAGATAATACAAGATTAGTGAAAAAGAAGAAAAATATGTCAAAAGGCTGCACAAAAGAAAGGGAAACTCACAGTGTTCTCTTTCAAACCAGGATATAAGATTATATTAATGCACTTTTGGTTTTCATTTTAACGCTTATTCATTTTTTGTACATTCATTGAACCGTAACCAAGAAATGTACAGCCTCGTATTGCAAAAATATGATCTAATTATGACTATCGGTAGAATATAAATATATATTGCCCACCCCTATTTCAAAGTGAAACTATAATCGTTAGTGTTTTTAATGTTTTGTCTTCCACTTTAATATAACTTGGCTGAGTTTGTATGGCCTTGTCCCTGCTGAGCTCATCTAATTTAATATTGTGTTCAACTGTGGACACTTACTACAGCTGTTGATGTAGAACAAGTCTTATCATTTTATAACCAAAGTCTGTAAAACCCTGATCATAAAAAGTTTATTTGCTCTGGGTATACACTGCAATACTGTATCACTGCTGTCTGCCAGAAATACAAGTGGAAAGCTAAGCATACATCTAGCTACATTCAGTTTCTAGTAATACTGATCCTTTATTGAGATTCTTGTTTTTTGTGGGATATCTCAGTCTCCTGCATTTACGCTTATTCTTCGACACTACAACAATCCAAATGATCAAGATGATAAATGTCCCTTTGTTGTCTTCCACTTATTCTGTTTGAATGCTACGAGGAGTCTGACCTTGCTGAATTTCCACCCTTCACTAACCACTGAACGTATCTGATGGATTTTAAGGTTTTTATACTTTTTATGTCACCTCTGAGACACGTTTTGGCTACAGGAAATTCCCATCACACACGCAGCTATTAATGAATATTTTGAGGCTTGGGAAACTGAAAAGCTTTAGTGACATTCTGGCAACTTTACAAAACAGATTCACCATTTGATCTCACTGTTCTACATTTTTAATATGAACTTATTAATAGTAACTTATAATTTTCATTTATTGAGAGCATTCTTGTTACCGTATTTTCCGGGCTATTGGGCGCGCTCTTAAGCCTTCAACTCCATCAAAAAACGACTGCGCGTCCCGCAATCCAGAGCAACCTATACATGAATCCACTCAGGTGTCACAGCACGACTTCAGTGAACTACAAAGCCGCACACAAACACGCACGGAGCAAACAGCGACCGGGCAGCAAAAAACACTCGCAGCTACACTCATCACTCCACGCCGATGAAGAATGGAACGGAGGAACGAACTGAAAAAGCGAGTGCAATGTGCCACTTCTAGACACAAATGAACAACTGAGTCACTGCAAACACGCCGACAATCCAGCGGTCCCAGACAGCACCCTCCCTACACGCCACAATTGAACAAAGCCCAGAGTCACCGTGAACGCGACCAACAAATTCCCACTGAGCCATCGAACTGTTGTGTTTCATTTAAAGTCCGGTGTTTTTTATTTGTGAAAAAAGTTCGACAATAGACCATTCTATGACGAGTGCATCTTATAATCCAGAGCGCCTAATAGTGTGGAAAATACGGTATATTTGACTATATATAGAGCTCTCAATCACCTCTCATATAAATACAATCTCCCCACCACTTTCTGCCATTTCAGCTACAGTCTCAAAAACCTCTGCTCTATCTGCCCTACAGCAGCAGAATCATCAGCCTCCCCAGAATGTTCTCTTCTTCACCACCTCCAGAGTCTAAGCCACAGAGGACGTTTTCCATCATACTCTCCGTTCTTCTCCTCACTGATATCTCCATCTGCTGGGGTCAAAGCTCCAAAGTTTTTACATTTAACAAGCTACAAATTTCAACTAACTAATCTGTCTCCAAAATTCCGCTGCAGAAATAATTTTGAAAACAATAACACTGAAAGGTGTACTAGGAGGCTTTTCTATTGGGCGTTCGGCACTTGCTTGTCCCCATGGAGGTGTAATGTCTTTGACTGACATGTTCCACAGTCTGGCATTTAATGTCTACATTAAATTACAGACATATTTATTGCTTAATTCTTTAGTCGTCTTTCCACACACCAGACCTTTAACTCGGGCCGCTGGCGTCACTTGATTATCTTCAAGGTGATAGATACGATTAATGCTAAGGCTGTAATTGGCTGCAATTGAATTTTGATTGCAATTTCGATTTGTGTGTCAAACGATCTCCAAACTGTTGAAACGATTTAGCTTTATTTTGGGATATTTTTTGATATGATCATTTTTTAAATGTAGAGATTGCAGAACAGCTGGATATAGAGTTTATTTTGGATACATTTATGGTTTTCTGTGCCTTATTTCAAAGTATATTTTATTCATTTTATGTTTTATACATCACAAAACTGCTCTAAGGTTCATATTTGTAGCCTATATTAATTTTCAGTTCAAAAGTTTTCCGTCAATTATCAGTAACAAAATGTTTTGGGTTTTCATGAGAGAGTGAAACGCTGAATAGATGCATCATGTAGTTAAAAAAACAATCATTTGAATAATTGTGATTTCAGTATTGGCCAAAATAATCTTGATAATGATCTTTTAATAATCGAGCAGCGTTAATTAATGCCATACTGTGGAACATCCCAGGCAAGCAATCACATCTCCATAGAGAAGCTACATAGTGCACATATTAGTCAGTATCTGCATTCAAGTCTTGGATATGTTAACTATTTGACCCAACATATATGAATATTTAATTTACTGAACCAGAAGTAGCGTATAATAATTATTGTGGCCTATTTTTCCCTGTTTTATCATATTGAATTACAGAACTTGCCAGACATGTCACTTAAAATGCCCTTCAGATTCACATGGTTTATGGCCTTTTCTGACTGCGTTTCCTTGTCACCTGCTCGAGGTAGGTGTAGCTCCAGATTTTTCCGTCGGCGAACACTCGTGACACCAGGCGACCCAGCGTGTCGTACTCCAGCCTCTCGGTGGTAGGGCCCCTCTGCAGAGCGCTGATCTGCCCTGTGCTGGTGCGGCTCACGTTCACCGGTAGGAGCTTACTGCTGGGCACCCACAGCACCGGATGCCCCGCCGTGTCGTAGATGATCTTCAGGAGGAACTTTCGGTGGTCGTCGTAAATCTTCTCCGTCCTCAGGGTGCGGTCGTAATCTACTGACAGGATGTTGCGCCCGTTCACCTGGTGACAAGGAAAAGGGAAATGCCTTATTTAACAAGTTTGATATCTGTTTTTGTTGAAATAAATGGATTACATGGCGGTATTTTCCAGTTTTGTGCTAAACCAGGACTAAAACCAGGACTAAACCAGGACTAAAACCAGGACTAAAACCAGGACTAATCCAGAACTAAACCAGTTCTAAACCAGGACTAAACCAGGACTAAACCAGGACTAAAACCAGGACTAAAACCAGGACTAAAACCAGGACTAAAACCAGGACTAAAACCAGGACTAAAACCAGGACTAAAACCAGGACTAAACCAGGACTAAAACCAGGACTAAAACCAGGACTAAAACCAGGACTAAACCAGGACTAAAACCAGGACTAAAACCAGGACTAAAACCAGGACTAAAACCAGGACTAAACCAGGACTAAACCAGGACTAAAACCAGGACTAAAACCAGGACTAAAACCAGGACTAAAACCAGGACTAAAACCAGGACTAAAACCAGGACTAAAACAGGACTAAAACCAGGACTAATCCAGAACTAAACCAGTTTTAAACCAGGACTAATCCAGGACTAAAACCAGGACTAAATCCAGGACTAAAACCAGGTCTAAACCAGGTCTAAACCAGATCTAAACCAGATCTAAACCAGGACTAAACCCAGGACTAAACCAGAACTAAAACCAGGACTAAAACCAGGACTAAAACAGGACTAAACCAGGACTTTAAAACCAGGACTAAAACCAGGACTAAAACCAGGACTAAAACCAGGACTAAACCAGGACTAAAACCAGGACTAAAACCAGGACTAATTCCACGAAACAATTAATAAGAACTAACCAATCTAAGCAGGACTTAATCAGTAAGTTTTTTTACCTGACCCAATGGGACACCACTTGAGGTTAAAATCTTTATTCATCATCATTAACTCTAAAGCGTGCAGCTGAACATTACTACTGTCCACATGACCAAATTGGTATCAGCGTACAGGAAGCACACTCACACAAAACACAGGAGCACTGAACTGTGAGGCAAAACAGTTAATGGCAAAAATTCATACACATAATACATAATTGTGAAATTTGCCTAGTCCAGTTACATAATAAGATACTATAACTCAGGAATGTAAGATGTTTGTACGTAGAGACTTAAGACCAATGTGTGTCTGTTAAGTCTGAGCTCTAGTGGCCAAAATCGCTTTTATTCTTTCCAGCGACACAGAGTTAAATTTAACTCAGGCACTAATAGTCCAAGGACCCTAAATGGAAACACAAGGTGGACCTCAAAACAACAGTATAGGTTCGTATTACCCAGGAACGTAAACACAGAAAATACGTTACAATGTGACCTAATGAGTGAGACTAACCAAACCCGGAGGACCTCAAAAGAGACCACATGAAACTAGTGTTAGGAAGTGGACTGTTAAACAAATTTTCCAGGAACTAAAAATGGATACCCAAGTTTCTAAATTCGCAGGTTTTTAGGGAGACTCGCAAAGGTAACTAGTAGGACTATACCAGGATCCTCGTAGATTTACCAGTTTAGACCATATTGCAAGCCACAAAACCAACTGGTGTGGACCATATAATAACCAAGAGATTCCTAAAAACCACTAGGATACCTATTAATTATAAACACATGGATATTCTTGAAAATGATACACCGGGAACTTTTTTAGAGCCAGGAAACTTAAGAATAACCGAGACGAACTGGAGCATATTTCTTAGCGTAACCTTCCCATTAACCGTAGCCGAAGGACATAGATGAGACCTTCAACCCAGCGAGCGTAACATGCCCAGAAAGCGATAAACCTAGACGTGGTCTTAAGGCCATAAACTTGAACAATTAATGCAACCCAAGAGGACCATCACGACAAACCATGAACAAGAGTCCGAGAGGAACCTACCACCGATTTGCGCCGGTCTAAACCAGAGTATCATGACAACAACGCAGAGTCAATAAAACGACAGGACGTTCAACACAGCTCCACCCAGGACTAAACCAGAGGTTAAAACTAGAACAAAGCCAGCAGCACACTAGGAGAACCAACTTCTCAACCCAGGTTGTAGAGAAACCGACCAGGGACGCCTCCATAAAAAGCAAATGCCTGATGACACACGTGAGAGCGGATTTGTGCCCTGACAACCAGGTCATCTGGTACGTGGTGCTAGACATAAAGGTGATTAAACCACCGGAGGTGCTTGGAAGAAGCCTCAGTGCGAACGATGCGCGAGCAGTGCGGCAGTGGTGAGTGGTTAAATGCACTCAAGCACTTTTCTCCCTCGTCAGGAAATAACTCTTATTGGGTGTTTATACTTGAGAGGCTCATACCCCAAGACCTCCGGTGGAAAGTAAGAAGAGTGGTCGTGTTTGTACCACTATTTGTTCTTGGAGTGATGTTAGCCCAATGACTAAATAGTACATTACTACTTTTATTGGTCATTAGGTAAACTAATACATAGAGCATTATTTAGGTCACTTGCCTAGAACACAATATTGGGACTACTGGTATATGCAAACACAGACCCAGTAGGGATACAGCAAACAGTTACCTATTCATGGAGATCGTATGGGCAAACTCACCTCAAAATATCATGACCTCATCCATTCATACTGAAAGCATCGATACTCAAAAATTACATATAGAATTTTGGTCTGCGCATTCAGCTAGGTTGTCATTAATCAAAATTCGCCATCACTTTAAAGTATTATAAAAGAGTGTCGAATCATGCATGTTAAGGTGCCTATTAAAAACACGTGTACATTCGATTACTGTACTGGCCTAATTAATTACAGGTCACACATAATTCTAATAGTCACTTTGTATATCAGATTAATCTATCTGGTACTCAACTTAAGTTGCATATTTGGGCGAGTATATTAGATCACACGCTGCTACAATGTATTGGGGTATGAAAATCTTCGAAAGATGCTGATTTTAAGAGAAGGGTGAAATAAAGTAGACATTTGTTATAAGTAAATCCAATTTGTGGTCTCAAACACTCTCTGCCAATAAATAATACAGTAAGTATATGCCCCAATGATTAATATCAATATAAATTTATATTACAAAATGACGGCGAGCAATACGCGTTGATTGTTAAAATATACTCCGGTTACCAATGATCTCCCTGGAGTATAATGTAAAAAAGGGGAAAGCATAATATATAAAACCTAAATTTCTCGATTGTAACATCTCGCTCTATAACTAATTGCCATAGTGATAAAAATATACTTTCAATTTTGGTTTGGCTTCTTCCATACAATTCCGAACTATAGGTATGAGTACAACTCCTATTACCTTTTACATATCATTTTTTTATCTTCTGATGTTTTTAGTTATGATGTTGACTATATGCTAATACTAATTTTTTTTTGGCAATAAATCTCTGGTTCAGATTAGTATGAACACGTGGAATTTATGTATTTAGTCACAAACAAATAAACATGTCTAGTTCCGACATCAGCTGCTTATTGCCTCAGCTCGTGGCCATCCCACTTAATGAGACCCTGGAAAAGGCAACCAGTTTGACGTGAAAAAACCAATCACTCCACTTTTTACGATATTAAGCAATAATGTTACAGAAAGATGAACACCAAGAGTATTGCGCGCCAAACTGTAAAACCAAAGAAAGTTATCTTCCACATACATCTCGGGAGAGTGTATCTCAAGTTATGTCTGTTGTCTGTTATTTATCTATGCCATAGTAAATAAACATAAACATGCGTAAAACAAGATCAAAATAATATTTACTCACCTTTGTACCCGATTCTGGCGATATGGATATCCTTAAACATAGAATAGTAATCTAAAAAGTAGGTTAATAATGCATAAACATTGATAATATGCAAAAAAGAAACTTTATGTTATGAAATTCATACTGGAGTCGTGTATACTATTACTTATTTAATTTTAATAAGCTTTAAAATAAAACCATTTTATTTAGAACATATTCAGACAAAAATTTTGATGCGAAACCTTGCACAAAATTACGTTGATGTCTTTTTCTGGAGTCTAGATGATTCATCTTTTGTATTACTGCATGTATTCAAGGTGAACTTGTATCTTTTTAGACTTAGTACAAGCCTACTTACCTAATTTTTACTTTGTTAAAGTGTATTGAACCATATTACTACCTTACCTTTCTTAATACTGACTTGTATCTTTTTGTTGTGTGAGAGCTAATATAATGAATGATATCCGTTTAGATCGAGTAACTAGACCTCATGTGGGCAGACTTGCCATGAGGATAATCGGGCTATCCACCTTGACATGGGAGCCCCTCTCCCTATGTTAATGACACAAAGACGTCTGCAGTTCGTTGCCGGACACGACTCAAGTGGCGTACATGTGATTTCTCAAGTTAGCGTGCACCTTACTATAGCTAGGTTTACTCCAAGAAGTACATCTGTTATGCTCGTTTAACAAGTATAGTGCCTAAAGGAACTCAAAAATAGTACATTAACAGAAAGATAAAGAATGTGTATAATCTGTTTCCGTGATGTGTGTCTCGGACTGAATGGGCACTTTATCACAAGAACCAACTCATTTCAGTGTAATATAAGTTTACATAATACACAGGTACTTTAATTAAATCCAGACCAGTAAATCAGTGATATTTGCCATGATTGGAAGATTAAATGAATAGATGAATATGGAGAGCAAAAAAATAATCTAAACCAAATAAAATGTGAAGAAAATATCAAATAAATGACTCCTCTAAAATCCGTAGTTCATATGAGCTTTAATGCCGTATAGAAGGTCATGCTGTGGCAGGCTGCTGTAGTGTGACTGGTTTAGTTCTATCTATCTTGTATCACTTACTATCTCAAGAAGTACGTTTCACATGAAATATAACAACTACATCTGTTCTCGAATGGGGGAAAACAGTGGTATCGCTAATTTAATCATGATAATTTAAGACAAGTCACAGTTCAAAACAAGACAAAAAATAGTTTACCTCATGGTGTGTGCTAATTAATATTCTTAACCCATCAGTCATTAAAGGATAT